TCCGTTGCCGTGGCATCGATTTTTTCTCTCCTTTCTTTATTATCAACATCGTTGCTATTATTGTTATTATTCACTTAAATGTTTTTTTCTCTCGCTTGGACGAAGCAATGGAATACACACACGCGCGCGCGACCCATACTAAGTGAAATACAATTTTATTGAGCGTATCATCGGCTTTTAAATATATATATTTTGATGAAATGCAACATTACAGTATGACGACAACATCATTTCTTTCGTCTTTTGTGTAGTTTTTTTTCTCGCTTAAATTAAATCGGTGTATAAATATTTACGCTGGTATTATTATTGTTATTGTGAGTATTTGAACTCCTTGGCAATATAAGACCCTTTTCTATATCATAGACGAATAAAAAAAAGCATCCGCACCGTGTGTGCAAATTAATCTGTGGACAATTGAATTCATGCATATTCTCTGTTTCACATTTACTTTTCTCTTTATCTTTCTCATGTCATTCGTATTTGATCATTTCACAGCAATTGTTTTGTAATACTATGAGTGTGTATTTTTTTTATTCCATGTTTTCTTCACTCGCTGGCTACCGTATACTTATGCACACACACTTGAATTAAACGTGCATTCAATTGTAAAATTCTTTCATACCATTGAGTCAGTGTCACGTTGTTGTTGTCGTCCTCGTCATCATTGCTTCGTCATGTGGCCACCTGTTACAATTCAATATGCATTCACCGATCATTTGAAAGGTCTCAAATGAAAGGCTTCACAAGACATTTCGAGAATTAACTACATTTCGCTTTCTAAGTTTCGTTTATCATTCCACATCTCTCTCTATGCAATTCACGGTCATATTCGCAATTGATCGTCAATGAACAACACCAAATAAGCTTTGAATGAAAGGAACAATTTTTCATTCTATCTCATTAATGCATTTCATCAAGTTGGTTCAACAAGTTCCGTACGATTTTCGTTCCCCTTTTTTACATTTCCCATTTGAATAAACATTGTTTGTTTTTTTTTTATGCAAAAAGAAAATATATATATTTGAATGTTTCACGTCGTTGATTTCAATGCTTTTTTTATTTTCCTTTCGAAATGATGTGGAAAAAAAGTGACACGATCCGAATGACATGTATTGCTCAGGATTTGATTGAAATGGGAATGCGTTTATTGCGATATACATATTTCATCGAAACTCTGGAATATCAAACTTGTTAGCCGGCGTGTATGTTGATGAATTGAACTGAACAGAAGAAACAGAAATACACATAATATTCGATAAAATCACATATCGGGGCCGTTACGAGATGTGCAGGTTTTCACTCGTGTGCCCATTAATATTCGAGTTTATTCATTTTATGCAAAATATGCGACATTAGATCGTAGTGACTTCTTGATTTTTCTTCAGACATTCATCTTCTATCTCTCTGATTTTTTGCTATATATCTTTGTCGATCAAATCGAACGAACGAACCAAACGAAAAGAAAGAGATAAAAACAAACTAAAATCAGAAAAAGACAAAAGCCATACAAAAAAAACGAGTTAAATACCAAAAATGAATCCATTGCTACATATGACTGGAGTAAAAATCTTTGACGTTTTCTCATCAGTGACCGGTTCGCGCATATTTCTATGCCTGATAGCTATGCTAAGCATAGCGGAGACGCAAGCCGTAACGCACCCGTCGCCATTCGATTCGAGCTATATTGTATGCGCACGGTCGTCTGCATAAACGAACATGTGCATTGTTCATATAGAGTGAACGGCGATGCGTCGGTTGCGTTTGCGGCTATGCTTGGCATATCTATGCTACCTAGCGTATTTAGGCAAACATAGAAATATGCGCGAACCGGTCACTGTTTCTCATCTCTTTTTTTTTAATCTATTGATCTATTCACGTGCCTCAGATAAAAAGGGGTTTTTCCCATTCAATATAATTAATTCATCGTTTTTGTTTCGTTATTTCTATTCAGAAATATTTTTCATTCCATTTACACCGAAATAGCGAGAGATCTCGGTCGCATTTTTGATGGAAAAACAATTTTTTTTTACTAAAAATAGATCGAAAAGTTATTAAATAACTTAAAATTGTCGTTCGATTGAAGTTGAATTGAACAAGCTGAATAAAAAAATATTCTGTTTAACACATCAATAATGAAATGAATTTCGATGATGTTTTTCGCTTCAGTCAGCGATTGGGCGGTAAAAATTTGATTTTGTTCGAATTATGTGGCGCCAAAATGAATTCATAAAACTACAACAAAAGCAAAAACATTCGAGCTAGTATCTTTGATCGGCATTGGTGCGACGCCAAATCATTTTATCGATATGTCAAAACATGCGAGAAATCGTTTGTGCCTATGATGAATGTCACCAAAAGTATATTTATATACGATACCTAAAGATGTATTCACAATTTCACATACAAAACATTGTCTTTTTTCTGTCTCTCGTTCAAAAGTGTTTTAGTGTTGTATGTTTAACATCTTATACTCATGTATTTTCATTTTTAATAAGATCTAGTGTGCTTGACGTTCATTTTCAATGTATTTCGCATGGAGCAAAGTGCCGACCATACAAGACCTTATATGTATATACAATATGTAAGCATACAATATTCGAATGAAATTAGAATAAAAATCAAATTAAATACGATCGAAACAACAGTCGGTCTTGGCACCGTCATTCCACACACTACACCAGAAAAACAGTATCACTCATCACATCACAAACAAACATACGATGTGTGTTCATACAATTTCTTGTGAAAAGTAAGTAAATTCCGTAAATCGATTATGATCAAATCAAAAACACAATCATGGATCTATCCCAATGGATTGTTTCGCCACAGGCTTTCTTTTTTTTTTCGGAAAATCTTCCCAAATAATTACCGTTGAAAATAGTGCGTATTTGATTGCAGTGTTTTTTCCAAATGGCAACATTACATGCAATAAAATGAATTAGCATCCAATCAATATCGGCGTTTTGTTTTGATACTTTTATTTTGCTTGTTGTTTTTGCACACTTGAGATGCGGTCAGTATCTGTTAACACAAACATCGACAGAGCATTGAAAGCTGCTAAATGGATTTGTGTTATTCAAAATATGAAATAAAAAAGGTACAACAAAAAAGTAGAAAAAGAAAAAGCAACACTCATGTTACGTCGATTCAGTATATATATATAATATTTTTTTTTGTTGTTCGCTCAATGTTTTTGACACATTTTCCACTTTATCTATTAACTTGTTGAATCTTGTGGCTGTTACAGTTGTTGTGCAATGACAGCAACAAAACATGAATTCAATATAATATATGAAAAGTGTGTAAACCGTTTTTCCTTCATTCAATCAATACATATACGGTTGGCGGACAAACGGACGGACGGGCCTCTTTGCTACTTGATTTGCACTGTGTCGAAATGAAATGCTCACCATTCTGAGCAGTACTTTGCTTCTTTCACTCACTTACAAAACTATCACGAACACGCCACAACAAATACTTACTTTGGATTCGGAACAAAATGTGCGCATACACATAAATCAGCGTCATGCCATATCATCATTTTTGTAATGCTATTATACCAGTGATACCAATTACATTATGATGATGATGAATGCACCTTGATGAATCGCATGGAAATGAAACAACGACATAGAATGGACAATAAATATGACAACGATAAAAATCATAAATGCAACAGCACCAACCAAAAGTAGCATTAGACAATCGCACATTCAAGTCGACGTTAAGTTGTTAGAAGCGACGGCATGAGTAACATATCGATGAGAACACCGAATGAGGAACAACAACAACAAAAACAGCACACACAAATCAATAAACTCACAAACTCACCGCATGCACACTGAATACGAAAATAAACTACTTTATTCAATGCTGACACATTAGTGTCAATTATTATTAATTTTTCTCTCTTATAAACACATAGTCGAGTGCAAAAAAAGGCGCACGAAATTGAATCAACAACGACCGTCGTAGTAGTAACTGCATCAGCCAAACAACGTCACCATTTAATAATCAATAAATGCTTTACAATCATTACCATCCAATCATTGTATATTTCAATTTTTTTTTGTCACCTCTCTCGGTGTGTTTGCATTTTTTTTCTTCTTTTGTCGTTCAGGAGTTGTTGTTTTTTTTTATACCCGTACATTGCATAATAATCACCATATAAGTCATAAGTCATGCACATTGGTCACCATAATAAGTGTTTGTTGGCGCTCTCTTTCTCTCTGTGTGTGAGTCTCTTTGAAATGTTCGAATCGTGTACTAAACATGTTCGAAGCAAAAGTAGAATTCTACTTACAATTTAATTGATCGTTACATGAAAATTGTTTGATTACGATAAGACTTTTGCTGCCGTTTCAAATGCGGTTTAACACCAAAGCAAAAAAAAGAGTCAACATGTTATCGATATTTGCCATCGGAAATGAAGATAGAGATATCGATTTTATAGGTGCAAATTGATTGGAACAGATATTTAGTCAAATCTGATGACATTTTATCTTAATATCATGTGAGGTGATTCCCACCAGTGTTTCAATACGATTTTGTCTAATAACTTCATTTTTGTCTTCACTTTACTCCTAACATATGTTTCTTTCTCTTCGTTTCATATTTATAAAATGAGTTTTATGGGCGATTTGAATCGTGGCATGATGCCATGTTTTTATGATCGCGGTGTTGTTCATTTTTCGTGATCATTTCTTTTTCTTCTGTCTTGTCCCCGGCGATACCATTTTGACTAGTTGTTGATCGCCCATTTTACTACGAAAAAATCAAAGAAAAACTTGAAAGACTGTCGCATCCAAATTATTAACGATATCATATTGTGAACGATGTCATTTTGGTAATACACACTGAAAATAAGAAAAGATTCTCTACATTTAATGAAATTATGTTGATTGACACATTCGAAAAACAACAAAAGCACACAGACACATCCAAAAATAAGTAAATAGTTGATTGAATTTTTCAATGTTCTTATCTCTTTTTCATTTCAGCAATCATCATCTCATTAGCAAAATTCTAGGCATAATACAACAAAAATGGAAGCCGGAACCAGAATATTACTCGGAATACTCTTTATAACAGCAACAATGGACACAGCCTTAACCCACGAAAGTATAAGTAAGTAAAATGTTGTTGTTTTTTTCCTTGATCCGAATAAAGAAACATGATTCATTTTACTCTAATAAAAGAAATGATAAGAAGTGGCTCAAATCGACAAACACTTTTTAGCTTTTGGGTTGAGTAAATTCGAATCGATGCAATAGAACCGTATAAGTTGTTTTTTTTTATTGTCGCTCGTTTTTGGTTAGCACAAACTTTGTACTTATATTTTATTGCGGTGCATTATCAACACACTGATTCTGACCAAATATAGAATTCAATAGATCAAACAACACGACCATGAGATATAAGCTATGTCGCGTCCAACGGCCATTTTTGACAAGCGCGCTCATTCGCTAAGCTTAGATATTTAGTTTCGTTATCGAAATCGTTACTAAACGAAACGAATTAGATATATGCAAAAGGACTAGAGTGAGGCAAAGTCGATGAATAAAAAAAAAAACACACAGAATTAGAAGGCAGCATCGAAAAAGACGGCAAGAGCAAAATATAATAATCATAATATATACAGAGAGAGAGAGAGAGAGAGAGAGAGGCTAGTGTTTCGATGCGAACACGCGCACTGAAATCGAAAGGAGGGAAACAGACACTTGGTGACAAATCGGAATATTTATGATGTTGTCAAAAGTGTTTAATGCACAAGCATATTTACGATTTGCAAAGAATTATGGATTCATTTGAAATGTTTCCGCGAGTTGTTTGCCATTCGGCATGAGTTTTTTTCTTCGTCTCTTTTATTTCATCTTCTTGTGTTGTTTGGTTTTGTGGTGGCAGTAGTTGTGGTGGTGGTGGTGGCGGTACGGTTGCTGCTCACATTCCTTCGAGGCGTATTCGTCTGCACGCATGCAAATTACGAATTGGAAATCGTTTGTTTATCCGTTAATGTATGTGTTTTGTTTGTTTGCTTGCTGTTTGTTCTTTTTTCTTTCTCTCTCTCTCTCTCTCTCTCTCTCTCTCTCTCTCTCTCTCTCTCTCT